AAATCTTAGAAAGTGTCAATCACCTTATTTATTCACCAGGTGCTCCAAAGACTCAGTGGGCCCTTGTCTCAAACCTGTGTTTCCCAGCTCTCTTCTCTCCATGTATTGAAGGAACACCCTAATCTCAGATTTGGGAAGGTGCTGTATTGTTCCCTTCTTCCCCTTACTACTGTCTCCATCACCCGTTGTCTTCCTCTTCCAGAGAACCCCTGCTCCCCCCACCACCACCACCCCCGCCCAAATCTGCCCTTCATGATGCTATTTCACAGGCCCAGTGTGGTTAGGGGTACATAGAGGAAGACCAGAAATACGGATTTTATGGCTAAATATAGGATCAAGGTGCAGAGCTGAGGGCCAGGCAGCTCTTCTGAGAGCACATAGTTACTCAGAGCCAGCATTACTCAGTTGAAGGCACATGTTTACCTTCCACAGCGGTGGTTGCAGGGAGAAGCAGAAGGGGTGGGTGGCTGGGGCGGGACCACAGCAGTGAGGGGGGCTGTCTGCTGGTGGGAGGCCCAGGAAGCAAGGAAGCACGGCTCAGTGTTTTTGGTCTCTTCATTTAACCTTGGAAAGACGCTTTCCTGGCTCCCTTCACTCTGATGCTCTGCAGTTCCAGTCCTCTTAGTAGACATCAAAATACCCAGCATGCATCTCATAACTAGAGACTTCTGGGGTGCATTTGGGCATCTGGGTCAGCATTTTAAGAGAGGGTGGCAGTGGTGTCTACGTTTCTCACCCCTGGATCCTCCAAACCTTGCCCAACATTGGGAAGAGGTGCTCAGTACATGTTTCTTGGTGGTTAGGTGATTGAATGAGTGAGTGCTACACATACAGAAATGTGTGTATCTGAGTTTGAAGAAGGCAGAGAGGAAGAGGGCTGCAGCTCCCCTGTGGCTTTGGCTGCTTTCTTCCCTCCTCTGGGCGACATTCCCCTTTCCTCCACAGGGCCAGGGGCCTAAGTGAGCCCTGACCCCTTCCTGCCTGTGTACCTGATGGCAGCAGCAGCCTGCGCTTTCTGTTTCTCTGTCACCCACACCCCTGAGAGGGGAAGAGAGCCGAGATGAAAGCCAACCACAATCCAGAGATTTGCTGTCGGTTTTAATAGGAGGGATAGAGTCCAACAGGTTAGAGCACCGTACAAAAAGACCTTCGACTTTGTGCTGGAACATGACATGGTTTGTGCATAGCACATACAAATTAAATAAAAATACAAGCAGTACATTTCACAAGCACACACAGTTTTTGCTTTTCCTACCTGCTATACTCAAGCCAGGACAGCTCCGCACCGGGACCCAGCCTGAGGTCCTTAATGAGTTTTAGCTGTCTGCGGCTGGAATTTTAGTAGTTCAATGAGGTATTCAAACAGGGTTCTGTGCTGGCTGTTCTGCTTGCTGCCCTAGATTCTGGATCTGATGGAGGCCCACTTCTGGGCTCCTCCTACTCTGGGAAGACTTGTCCACCCAGGCATAAGCACACGCTGGGGTATCGATTCCAGCTTTATTGTGAAAATCCCTATCTTGGGAGCTTCGCAGAGATGTGACAAGCACTGCTGGTTCTTTCTGGGGGTGAAGAGAGGAGCAACTGTGATATGGGTACCAGGGGTGGCAAGTGGCAGAGACATCGCCTCAGCAGCCATCATCCCAGTATTAGGGGAAAAGCATAGAAACAGGAAGGTTTAGGACTTTTCTAGTTGTGTCCACAGGAAATGGGAAAGAAGAGCACAGGGGGTAGACAGGATGCTGAGGGGTGTCTCTGTCAGCAGCTGCAGCTGGTAGCTGTGTCTGCCCCAGTGACCGCAGCACAGCACAGCGAGGCAGCAGGCACAGACGTGGGGCAAGAGGACAGCAGCAGCCCAGGGGTGTTTCTGTGCCTTTCTACCTCAGGGCTTGTACAGAGTGATCATGTGAAGGATCTGAGGTCATAGGGGAGGAAAAGGGCCCAGCATCCATGTCCTGAAGAATTCCATGCTGCCCAGGGAAGGATTGTTGACAGGGGAGAATTTCTGACTTGAGTATCAGCCTGGAGAGAGACCTAGACTGTATGTCTAAAGAGAAGAGAGATTTATACTCTGAATCAGATGACAAGAGGAAACTTTCTCTTTCTAAGCCATAGGATGACCTTGATAGAGGCTGGCAGGAGGTGAGTGTTGGAGGGATCGTGCAATGGTGGCCGAGGAGAAGGCGCTGTAGGATAAGGTGTTCATCACAAAGTGAAGTGCTTCTTTCCAAGGAAGGTTTAAAAATGTATGGAAAGTGGGAAGGGAGGATGGATGTGAGCAGTGAGACCAGCATAACCAACAGTTCCAGCAAGGAACTTGGAATTCTCTGGCTTCCTAGGACTTTGTAGTCTATTTCCTGAGGAAGGTGAAGATTTTACAAGGGCTCTGGGCCACCTTGCTTCCGAGCGGGCCTCCTCCTCCCAGGGGAGGTCTTCAAGCATATGCAGGCATATGTTCTCATTTTCTTTTGTCCTCTTCTTCATGATTTGTTCTTGAAGAAAGGATAAAAAAGTCACTTGGTTTTGGAACCCCAAGTTTGCATGCAGCTGCCAGAGAAGGTTCAAGACCAAAGAGATGCCAGTTAGCTGCATTCCCAGCTACTCATGAGGCTGAGCTTGGAGGACTGCGGAGAGTCTGGGCAATGTAACAAGAACCTTTCTCAAAAGAATAATAATGATAATGATGATGATGATGATGATGATGATGATGATGATGATGATGATGATAATAATAATAATAATAATTCTGGGGATCTAGCTCAGAGCTAAAGTGCCTTTAAGTTCAATTCCCCAGTCTTGGAAAATAAACAAAGACAACTCTGTAAACCAGGAATATTGCTGAGGATTTGGGAGAGGAAGGACCCAAATCTTTCACGGTACAGTTTATCCATGAGAGAGAGATGCTCACTGTGCTTCCATGCCCGTGGCAGCATCTGCTGCAGCCTGCTGGATCCATGGGGCTGGTGGCCGAGCTCAAGGCCAAGCGTTCAGGTAGGGAAACATTACATGGGCACAGAGCAGTGTGAAAGGAGTGGCTGAGGTGCCCGTGCTGACCTACGTTGCTCCCATCTCTTGAGCCACCTCTGTGGATGGGAGTTGATTTTTCTGAAGCCCAAGACACTTATAGGTCAAAGACAAAGCCCTTGAAAGAGTTGCTTTGCATAAAAATTTCAAACCCATCAACCACGCACCTTTACATCCAGGGCTGAAATCCAAAATGCTTCACAACTAGCACCATGCAGGGCCTGCTACTAGTTAGAACAGATCCCCAGGTTCTCATAATCAACTCCAGTCATAGAAAATCAGTCTGCTGTGACTGCTACATGGATTCTGCACATCAAATCTGCTTGATTGTAGGCATTTGATAGCTTCTCTGTTTTACTTCTAACACAAAAAAGGAGGAAATGGATAGAATTGGTGGAACTCTTTGTCAGGATTCAAGGGATTTCTTGAAACCCTAGAGAGATCCAAGGAAGATCTAGCAGTCCTGGGCCGGGCATAGTCTCTTCAGAAGCTTGCCTCTCCTCAGGCCAAGTGAACTCAATGCTTTATGAAGGAAGGAGCTGATGTTTTGGGGCCCAGAATTTTCTCTCCTATCCAGGTCCAGTCCAAACATCCTCCCAGTCATCCTATACTCAACTGCAACAGGAATGGATGCGAGGTTCTGCACACTTCTGTTTCCTTTTTTTTTTTTTTTTTTTTTTTTTACCAGGGATTGAACTCAGGTCCTTGTGCTTGCCAAGGAAGCACTTATTCCACTGAGCCATCTCCCCGGTCCCGCACTTCTGTTTCTGGTGTGATCTATTGAACAGACTGATTACACTGGACGAGACTTTTAAAATCATCAGCTTTGTCACCTGCCTCTAAGCAGACTTGTACTTCTGTATTTCCAAATGTCAAGATGGATGAAGCTTTTGCCCCCTTTCCCTTTAACCCAAGACCCAGCTTCTCCTAGCTTCTGTCCAAGGCTTGGTCCCCTGTCCACACATGCTCCTGAGTGTGGACTGGCTGTTAAACTGTAGCTCACTTTGGGGTAGCCTTTTGCTCCTAGCCCAGCCCATGTCCCCCCACTCACAGGGCAGAGGAGGAGGCCACTATGGTGTCTCTCTTGTAGGTTGCCAACCTCTATCTTCAGCTCAGAATTGCCCAGCCCAGGTCTATCTATAGATGGATGCCTCTGTGAATAGCGGCATATTGGAGATGAAGGTATTTGCAACAGATGAAGGATTGTCTTGCAGGTCAGGGCCCCCAGGAGTAGCAGAGGGTGTCAGGTCATTTTGTAACTCGAAGGGTTCACATATGCCAAACATATTTGCACTCTGATATGGCTCTCTCTGGTTTCAGATTTAGGAACATTCCACTGGTTGAGGAATCTGAAGGCTCTAGGCAGACCACATTTATAGTTGCTCAGGGAACCTCTGCCTTAAATACTCTCAAAGGAGAGGAGGGAAGAAGGCAGCGTGAGCAGTGAGCTGCTTCAGCTTGGCTGCTTGACGTCGCGGGATTAGCACTCCTCTCCTACTGTAGGCAGCTCTGGAGGTCACGGTGTCCATTCTGCGGTATCCAGGCTGCAGTGCGTATGTGAGCGGAGGGTGCCCGAGAAGGAAGTGAGAGTATCAGATGAGGAGATGGGCAAGCTTCCTGGGCATACTTGGAAAGGAATGACTGTTTGCAGTCCAAAGCCTCTCTACTTCCTTCATGCCCTATTTTGCACCCCCTGCCTTGCCAAAGAGGTTGCCATTATTAGGATCCTTGTCATCTGAGGTTAAAATAAGGTCCAGTTCAAAGTGAGGAAAAGTGACAGGCAGGCAGCCTGGCCCTGGCTTGGCCTGGGAGCCACACACCGGCATTGAGTCCTCCAGGCAGAAGGGCTTCCAAGTGCATCCAGTCCCTCTGCCTCCCCTGCTGCCCTGCCCAGAGCTCCAACAAGCAGGGGCCCTCCCCCCATGCCCGACAGCCCATCCCAGCAGCCCCAGAGCCCCCCCAAGATTGGGGCATCTTGTTACTCCTTTTCTGGCTTGCAGTTAACCCTTATGTCCTCCCACTCTGCCCTCCCCAAATTTGGAGAACAGCTGCTCCCAGCCACCAGTGCAGTCCGTGGCCTCCAAATTGCTCATTTGGAGCATTCAGTGCTTGGAAAGTGGCAGAATGGCAGCACACATCAATCCTCCAGGTTTGGCAGGTGACATTCTTATAGGCAAATTCCTGTAGTGATGATGCTGAGCAAGAGTAACCTAATGCTCTGAGATGCCTCTGCTCTGAGATTATATGTGAAGATGCACAGATTCACACTGACACACGTGCTCACACTCTGGCCCTGTCCTGTGCACACATTCACATTCTGCAAATGTCACAAGCACCTTCTCACCACAGATGAGGTGCAAGCACAGGATTGACTGCCATTCTACGATGTGTTGCAGCCCTGGGAGTGGGTTCCACACCATGAGGTCCAGCAGCCAGGGAAACCAGCTTGGGTCTCTTGAGGCAGGAGATAAGTCTGACTGAGAAGTCGTGGGAGATGGGATTCCATCTGTGGACTTTTGTTCATGGGACTTTATATCCTGGGAAGGAAGTGGGTGGCAGTCATCATGGGGGACACTTTATTGCCCCGCTTTACCCGTCCATATTTGCTCAGTGCAATGTAGGTCCCTCGGTACACGTCTGATTCATAGGCATTGTAATTGTTGGGCAGAATGATTTCTCTGAACTTGCATTCGTCTTGGAAGCTGGGCTGTGAGAGAAACAGATGACAGAGACTCAGCGATAGAGAAGGAGAGCTGCAGATGCAGGCTGAGTTAGGCAGCATAGCCGTGTGCCAGTTTTCCTCCCTTCCCTCTGTAAGACAACCTCCTCAGGGTCTGCACCTTCCCTGAGGGACACAGCCACAGAAGAGACTGATGGGGAAAGACTTCAGAGCTGCCATGGTCCCTCCTCACCTTTCTCCTGCTCTTGTGATGGCAATGGGGCGGGATTGAGGGTTAGTGGTTCTCTGACTACCAGCCTGGGTCTCTGACTCGGTCTTTAGAAGATGGCACCTTCTATTCTGTGCATGGACTACAGAAGGCTACAGTGAGCTCTGTCCTCCAGCCCTCTGTGAGGGGTAGTCTGGTGATGCAGGACGGAGACCCAGGGTTCTTTTCAGTGACTTCTCTACATCCTGGTTGTAGGTTCATCCTGTTCTCTGCCTTTTCTACACACAGTGCCCATGACCGGTGTGCCCAGGAGTCTGAGGCCGACAGTAAATGGCCCCTTCATTGCTAATTTGGTAGAGAACCATGTGGGGACCAACTGTTCAAAAGATGAATGAATGTTGGATTTCCTGTCACACATCTTGAAGTCCATGCCCAGTAAATCACCCAAGTCTTCCATTTTTCCTAGAAAAGAGGCTCTTTCCTCCCCAGCCTACCCAGGTCACCACTCGAGGGGGAGTACACAGGGGTTTCCATGTTCTTTTGGGGTACACTACAAGGGATCTGGAGGAAGAGAGAGCAAGATGGGACCCAGGAGACCTGGGGCCTGGGCTTAAAAGAAAAGGAGAATTAAACTGAAGGAAATAGGTCCAGTGAAATTTCTGCCTCCTTCCTGCTGGCTCAGCCCATATACTAGAACACAAAACAAACCCCCACTCAACCACAGTCTCATGGTGCAGAGGTGTCAGAGGCATCCTCTAACCTTCCGTAAAGAGACTCTCCTCTGACCTCTGCTTCCCTGGCAGCAAGGAGGGACAGCAACCTCCTGTTGGTTGTGAAAGAGTGATAAGGAGCCCACAGTCAGGGCACCCACGCTCTGGAGCTCTTGTGGCATAGCTTCCAGACAGCATCTGAAACAGGATCCCTGAGGACACTCCTCATCCCTGAGACAAGGTTCTGTCTGGCTTGGGATGCAACAGTAACTGAGTGATTATGCAAGGAGGACACAACATGCACGGGTAGCCCTTCCTGTGTGACAGGGCTGAGGACCAGCGTTTCTCACTGCGATGCTCTGAGCACCACCATACACATGCACATGAGTGGACAAGCACGCACACCCACACATGCCTACAAACACACGAGCACCTTCCCATCTTGCTCTTGTGTATTGTTTATGGAGCACTTTCATACGTGTTAATTTGGTCAGAATCCACATGAAGGGTTTCACCATTTCCTGCAGCCCATGGAGGGTGGTGTGCCCCTTGCTCTGAGGGCTCATTAGATATTTCTGTCATGAAGGAAGCCCCACAAGTGGGAAAGCAAACTGTCCAAGTAGACAGTGAGTGTTTTTGCACAGGACTTTGAGCTTAGACCAATCACCTCTTCTTAACTATGCGAACCTGCGCAACCTGTTTAAGCTTTGAAGCCTCAGCCTCTTCATCTGGAAAGTGAGAAAAGCAGGAATAATTATGTCATGGAATCAAAGTAAGCATCCATGAAAGAAATAATACATGGAAAGTCCAGGGTTCAATGCTTGGTACATAGCAAATTAAAAATAATAATGTTATTTTTATTATTTCTGTAAGATTTGCTGTGGGTTGTTAGACAGTTTAGCCTTTAAACTCTATAGGTTTGGGCTTTTAAAAAATTCATGTCTTGCAAACTTTTTCTTTTTTTCTGGTACTGGGGAATGAACTCAGGACCCTGCACTTGCCAGGCAGGCGCTTATTCCACTGAGCCATCTCTGGCTTACATCTGTGCCATACTTTTGTAATAAGCTTACACGGACTGATTTGTTCTTGATTTCTATGAAGGATTCATCTCTGTAAATGTACATGTTTTGAGAGGTAAAAAAATTAAGCCCTGATAAACTAAAGCCCTGGCCCCCCAGACATTCTGCTCAGCTGGCAGAATCTGCTGCAGTCACTGGGGATGGATGATACGGGTGGATTCCGATACACTTCCGGTTTTTTGCTTTAACAATTATAAGAATACATTGTTAGACTCACACCTAACTAATAATCAGATAGAGCATAGTGTTTATATCTTAAGTGACAATATAGGTGTATAACATTACTTTTAAGAAGAGAAAGTTTTGTTCTGTATATTTTGTTCCCTTTCACAGAATAAAAGAATTGTGTATTAAAAACCAGACAAAAACTTCATTTCTTATTTTGTACTGAGGATTGAACTCAGGGCTATTTATTTATTTATATTTAATTTATAAAGGTTTAGGGCTGGCCAGATAGCTCAGCAGATTAAAGTGCCTGCTTAGGCAGAGCACAGTGGCTGGGGTTCTATCCCTGATGGGCCTTGCCAGGCCCGTCCCCGGGGTGCACTGAGACAGTGACTGAGACTGAGCGTGGTGGTGCTGCCTGTAATCCCAGCTCTTGGGAGGCTGAACACAGGCAGATCACTATGAGTCCAATCTACATAGTGACACCCTGAAGACCCTGTACTAAAATACAAAAAGATAAAAAATAAAAATAAAAAAGATTTTTATTTTGAGGCAGGGTCTTGCTGAATCCCTGTGTTGCCTAGCCTAGTCTCCAACTTGTGACCCTCCTGCCTCAGCCTCTCAGAATACTGGAATTACAGGCAGCACCACTGTGCCTGGTTAGCTTTGTGGTTTTAGCGGAATGCCTAGGAGATGCTTGCTTGCATGGAAAGAGCACAAAGCTAGGCGGCGGAGGCGGAGGAGGTGGCTCTGGCCTGTGCAGAGGGTCAGCAGCGGCTCAGACCACGGACCTTGGCCTGCCTGTGGGGAGCACACTGATCACGTGACCCGATGCTGTGGCTATAGAGTATCGGCCTTAGCAGAAACTACACTCACATTGACTGTAAAAGTTAAACGACAAATTTAAAGTATACTACTTAAATGGCTGTTACAGAGCAATGAACAGAACACAGTCCAGCTGTCAGTGAGACAGAAGTAAAAATAAAATAAATGAAAAACTAATCTGAATTCGACATAAAATAGAAGTGCCATTTCAAACCACTGGAAAAAAGATGGAATTGGAACAACCAGACAATATCAGATAATAATTAATAATTATAAAGTTGAAGGTATGACCACACTCCTTATATCAAAATGAATCCAAAAAGGACCAAGATTTAAATATAACTATGATAATCATTAGTCTAGAAAAATATTTGTTACCTCAGAATCAAGATCTTTCTAAGCATGACATGCATAAAAACCTCAGAAGCCATTTAAAAAACTAATACATCGAACATGTGTTTGAAAAATATTACCTCAAGCAAAATAAAAACTTAAATGGTGAAGTGCATAAACATTTACTGTACCTATGACTAGAGAACATTTTGCTATTTTACAGTCAGAATCCTTATGTTACTGGAAAACGAACACGTGGATAGGAAAATTGAAGGAAAGGGGAAGTAAATAACATTTAAGCATAACAAAATATGCCTGCCCACCCAGAAAAGTGTCCTTTGTGAGAACCAATGGGAAGGAGCCTGAGGTGTTGGAACCTACTCCTTGTGAATTCATGGCTTAAGCTGGGAGTGCAGCTCTGACCTTCAGCACCTAATTGTCAGCTAAGCATTCTAGGTCTTACTCAAAAATAAAAAACAAGAAATGTAACTTTTGCATCTGACCAGGATACAAAATATTTCATAAACATTTGGATATTTGGTTATTCACCCACACAACATTTCAGCAATACCTTTCAGAAAGAAAAATACTAAAGAGTAAAGACTGGACACAATTACTAGGTACAATGAAAATTTGCTCCAAATTTCTCTGAGGTTAAAAAGATACCACACACTTGTGCTATGCATCTTATACTATGAATAACTACTACGAAGACAACATGCAATGTATTAATTATTGTAACTGTCCTACTAACCTGTTTTGAAACTGTCTCACTGCTATTTGTTTCTCAATAAAATTAATAAAAAAATATTTAAAAAATCAAGGGCTGGCAAGGTAGCTCAGCACATTAAGTGTCTGCTTAGACAAGTGCAGGGACCAGGGTTTGATCCCTAACACCACATGTGCTGCCAGTCCCATACCCCGGCACACTCAGCCGGCCACTGAGCCCAAGTGTGGTGGTGCACACCCGTAAGCCCAGCACTGGGGAGGCTGAAAACAGGAGGATCATTTCAAGTTCGATCTGTGTAGTGAGACCCTGTACTAAATACATTGAATAAATAGAATTTTAAAAATCACCCTGTGTTGTAAAGACAGTTTTCTTAGTTGAACAGGTATGTGATGCCTTTTTAACCTCAGAGAAATTTGGAGCAGATTTTCATTGTATCTAGTAATTGTGTCCAGTCTTTATTCTTTAGTATTTTTCTTTCTGAAAGATATTGCTGAAATGTTGTGCAGGTGAATAGCCAAATATCCAAATGTTTATGAAATGTTTATATTGGCTTGAAGATTCTGTAAATCACCACAGGGAAACAAAGTATCAGAATAAATGGAGGTCACTTCAGTTAAACAAATGGAAGTCTATTTTAGTTAAATAAGTTGTTTGAAGCACCAAAAATATGTCTAATAAAAGAATGTAAATCGTAACTGAAAGCTCACATTTCTAATAACCAGACTGAAAAAAAAAAAAAAAAAGTCACACTTGATACTGTGCTACAATTGGTGAGGGCAGAGAAAGGAATTTCGCTTAGTACACTTTGTGTGCATATGGTTAGAACTGTTTATAAAAAGTAACGACATCTTCCAGAATAAAACAAATAGGGACAGAAAACTATCAGCAGTTCCACTTCTAGGATATGTATCTTACCATTGCACTGTCGTAAATGTACAAAAGTTACTGGCACACTATTATAAATGAACAAAAGCAAC